ACTGATCACTCAACCCTCAGCGCCTGCTGAAGGATTTATTTCACCAGTTCCTCCTCCCCACTGCTAGAAGGCCACCTCTAAGCTAGAGAAGTTCCACAGATCAGGAAACTGCAGGAGGCAGGGCAGCAGCTGCCAACTCATCTCACCATTCTGAACACATGAATAAAATTAATTTCAAGCATAACTGTGATGAAGTAAATAGATACTTGCAATATTAAATGTTCCTGTCACTGCAGTGATACAAATTTGGGCAAAATCCACTGTGTGCATAGACGTTGGAGGGCTTTGCAAAAGTGTTCTATAAAAGATAGCTCTGAATAGATTTGTATTTCCTTAGCATTTATTTCTGGTAATACCAAATGTTGTGTAAAACATGAAAATGAGTGCGTTGTAGCTAGAAGGGAACTCAAATGATATTAAACTGGTGAAGGTTATGGCTACAAATATTCAAGCAAGTTATTTAGTAAGAACCAAAGATGGAATTTATAGCATATAATGACAGACAACCAGCCCTCCCTCTGATGCTGTTGGACTTGAGGGCAACCATTTTTCTCATTGTCTACTCTGTGAATCCACATTCAGGAATTTACAAACTCATTACATTTGATTATCCCAATCTATGTTCTTATGCCACTTCTATTACTTAAATTTCAGTAGAGGTAGCAGATTGCACATGCTTGTGCCTTCCAATTTGTCTTCACGCAACTTGGCCCTCTCCATTTCCACCTGTGTATCAGCAGGATCTACACCTTATTCATCGTTCACCCTTAAGTTGCACCAGCTTATGCATCACAGCACATCCATACAGACGTACTGTTCTTCACTGACACCAGACTGCAAAGGAACACAGTCTCTACGTGTACGCATTTCATTCAACATTGCCCATTTATGAATGACAGCAAGTGAAAAGAAGCAGCAGATGTCTTGTGAGATCAGCAAAGACAATGTAGCTGTATTTAATGCTTTGTCTATTGAGTAAAGTTACCTAGAACGTAAACACTCACCACAACAAGCTAAACTAACCCACACAGGGCCCCACACAGCTAAAAATAAAACTAAAAACTCACAGAAATATATACCAGTCTAACACAAAAACTCAATCTGCAAAACTGCAAGGACATGCACCAATGCCAACAATGATCTGACATCTGAACACATGGGGAAAAAAAATGACCTGCATCCTGCTGTTACTCGCCTGCAGAACAAAACTCCTGTGGATAGTCCAGAATCAGGACTGAACATGGTGGTACTCCATGCTCACTTGGCCAAAGCACAGCATTTTTAGGAAGGACATATCAAATATTTGCAAGTATTCAAAGAAAATAGTAAACATTTAAACATGGCTTACCCTTAAATTTGCATCTTGGAATATGTGAACTGGTTTCCAGTTTGAAACAGAAGTAGAAACATAGATGTAGGCATCTCAGAAATCACTGAAATTACTTCCTTAAAGTAATTTTCAAAAAACTAGACCTTCATAAAGCAAGGGATAAAAAGCCAGTCTCCTTTCCAAAAAGAAAGTTGAACACCCACACTTAATGACAGTATTTTATATATAGTGCATGAAGCAGGTTGTATTAGAGCAGCTATAAAAAAACTGGTAAAATTTGACCTTTGTTCTTAGGTAAATGTTACATATTTGAGTAAAAGGTTGCATTTATAGGCAGCCACACCATTCTTTTTTTTATTTTAATGAAATCTTTAGAGGAGCTCAAGGGAGATTCTACAGAAACTATTTAAACATGCAACACTAATTTTGAACAAATTTTAAACGCTCAGACAAGGATTCTCCTCCAACATTCAATTCATCATCCCTTTACTCAGTGTAAATTCAATCTGTTCTGTTTGTGTGACATAAACAACAAGCAGTTTCACAGGAACAAGGCAAACCATATGTGAAGGTGCTTTAGAAAGCACAACAGGGAATACACCAAGCAAAGAAGCATCTGCATTTATTTCAATGTCAAATCGCATGAGTGTTATAAATTGGAAGTTTATTGTTTTTATTAAAGACCTACTTTACTATATTGTGCTGCTTACAGTTAACCCTTCCTTTCCCTCGATTCGCTCATGAGTTTGACCAGAAAATACCATAAGGGGTACAAGTGCAGTGTTACAAGTGGCTCATCATCTCCATCTGCCTTGTCTAGGCTGGTGTGTGCTGCCAAGTGCATGCTGTTCTCCCCATCCTGCCATCTCACACCAAGGCTGCTCCTGAATGGCTACAAGTCAGAAGCAATGCCTGATCCAAGCCCAGGTATTTTAGAGGTGTGAGTATGTAAATCTAGGTAGATTTATTCTCTACTAACGCTCAATATGCTATCTGATCCTTTTGAAACACATCACCTAGCCTGCTCCTGAGCTACCTGGAGCAAAACATGGCTGCATCCCTGAATGGCTGCAGTAAATTGCTTTTCCAGAAGCTGGACAGAGTCAGCTTGACACATTTGGAGCAGAGAGGAGAAAGAATTTCAAACATCATTTAGCCTGTCTGAGCTACAGGCACATAGGTTCAAAGCTAATTGCACGGAGACAAAAGATGATCATTACTTTATATTAGTGCACAAAATTAATCCTTAAGAGCTGTATTTGATGATACATCAGTTGTATCTGAAGCTGCTAATTCATTATTTGAGGTCAAGTTGAAGATTTCTAGAGTCCCAGACAGTATGCCTTTATTTGAGGGTATCGAAACAGATGAAAGTTCTTGCAATCTGTGCAGTTCTAACTCAAATACAACTGCACATCAAAAGTAGCGTTAAAATGCTCAAGCGCCAAAATTATTTCTCCCATCTGCAGGTATTACTTCAAGAAAATCTGCCTTTATAGTGACAAATAGCCATGAAGAACTTTTTTCCTTGGGGAACTGAAGAATAAGCAGCCGGAAAGCTCCTGACAGAAGGTTTGAGGCTGCAAGGGCTGAAGCTTGTCCAAACGTTTTCTCTCTCAAGCTTATAGATTTCACCTAATTTAGACAATAGCCACTAGAACTAGAAATATTCACTTTCTGCTGTGGGCTGTGTAGGCTCTTGGTCATAGAAAGACCAATTGCTGAGCAAAAGGAGCTCAGAAAAGCTGTGGTGGAAGGCCAGGTCCTGCAGGCAGCTTTGTAGCAGCACCTGCAAAGCTTCCCTGGGGCTGATCACACCAGCTGTGCCCACCTCCTTTTAATACCTGACCACATGCATGTGTTGTCTTAACCTGCTCTCTCTCTTTATACAGGTTGTGCTCATCCCCATCCATTTGGTGGTTCTAAGCAAAGCCTGTTGCTTTCAGCAAGGATGCATCTGGGCACAGGGGAGGAGCTGCTCAGGCAGGCTGCGAGATCAAGGTTGAAGCCTATGGGCTTCTGGAGCCAGAATAATCTTTTTGTTACATGTGCATATAATGCCCACTATAAGGAGGGTTGACTATGGCCTACGGATGTGAGGCACCACTGTCAGATTAATCTGAACAGAAGAGGACAAGCATGCTGCAACAGTAGGGGGGGATGGAAATCACAATTATCACAAAAATATTTTTGATTGCTAAAGAAAATTTTGCTCATGCTCTCCAATCTCCCCTTTGGAAAGCCCTACAAGAAAAGAGAAGATGAGAGGGAAAAAAAAAAATAATCAGGAGAGGCAGAGGAAAAAAAGATTGAGACAGACTGCATACTTTTAACTTGCCACAGTACAACACTAGCTTTTAATTAATACAGTGTATATACAGCTTTGAAGACTGTTGGTCGTGCAGTATTTTATGATAAAAACATTTTATGGGATTTTGTTTTTAAAGAGGATTTCGTAAAATAACCTGCTCCAATAAATGATTTACCAGCTGCAATAAAAGATCAAGGAAATTGCTCAGATTGTATCTTGGAACATCTAAAACTCTGAAGTTTATGGAGATCTAAGCTGCCCCCAGATCTACAGTCCTCTTAAAAAATTTTGTAGTAGCTAATTATCTTGCATTGCATTTTTTAAAAGGTAGCAGTCCTAGAGGAGAGGAAGGTCTGGAAACAGACAAAGAGGAGTTGATGTTCTTTCATGAAGAAAGTGGGAGAGAAGAAAGGAGAAAATAAAGACAAAAGCAACAACTGGAACCTCATACTGATGTGTTAGCAAATGCAGCTAACAACTCATACAGTATTTGATACTCCTTCAATTACAAAAATACATTTAAACTGAGTTAATTCTCAGTTTAAAAAGTCATGATTAAAAACATGTCTGTTAAGTAGCATGTTAATTATAATATCTACATTACTTTATCGAAAATTGAGTGATTCGTTTTCCCATTCCCTTCCTTTCCCATAAAGATGGCATTTTACCACTAGTGAAGCAGGAAACAAAGACACTCTCTCTAAATTCTGTTTTGTTCCAACCTCACGGGACCTTCACATAATAAATAAGTAAATAAAGCAAGCACTGGTGTTTATTTCAAAGAGGATGGCAGAAGCAATAAATAGAATAGCATATTGTAATAATAAAATACTAGCCTCAGTTGTCTCCACTGAGGCCAGACAGCACAGACCATGTGAAAAGTACCTGGCAGCTTTCGTTTTGTACCAGAAATACACAGCCTGCACCCAGTAACTCAGACAGGGATCTGACCCCTCAAGAAACCTCAGCAAACCACATAATTACAGAATGAATATAGTTGCTAAAGACATCTAAGAACATCTAATCCAACCATCCACCTACCACCAACATTGCCCACTAACCCATGTCCTTAAGTACCACTTCTACACACTTCGTGAACACTTCCAGAGACTGTGTCCCCACCACCCCCTTGGGCAGCCCATTCCAGTGCCTCAACACTCTTTCAGACAATAAGCTTTTTGTAACATCCAACCTGAACCTTCCCTGGCACAACTTAAGGCTGTTACCTCTTGTCCTATTGAAACACAATGGAAAGCACAACAACAACAGCAGAGTAGCAAGGTCCTAGGCTGCAGCAAGTAAGGTCATGCTCAAATGCAACAACCGCGGGCACGCAAATAAAGGAAAGAAACTACTTACTTTAAGAAAGACTCAGGTATACAGGGATTTCCAGCAAAATACTCTTATCTCCACTGCCAACCCTTAAATGAGGTCTGGGAACAGAGGAATCCTGGCTCCACCCCTTCAGATCACTCAGGTGCATTGCTTGCACCTGGGCTAGCCCTGACTTCCCACCAAGTGCTCAATCACTGGTTCAAGCCATGATGTGGCATTTCCACTATATTTATCAAAAAGCCGCTGTCTGCATCAGCACCAAGCTTCATGTCTATATCCTCCTCAAAAGGGTCAAAGAGAGGAAAAGGTACAACAGAAAAGGGGAAGAACTATGTTTCTCTCTTGATTCCCACGTCAAACTGCAAGGTGCATGCCAACTGAGGCACATGGCTGCTCCCTCTGGGGCACCATGTGCCAGTGCAAAAGCCACCAGTTCAACACCCTGAGTAGTGACCAGAAACCAATGTGTGTTTCAGGAATTCTTCCTTGCTAAGGAAGAGTGGATTTGGATGCCTTTAACAACACTATCAAGCTGAATGGCTTTGGAAAGCAAGATCAGTGCTGCCCAGCTGCTGACTTAAAATATTATTTGGATCACCATAACTTCTGCAAAAAACAGAAGAGACACTGAAGTTCATTAACACAGAAATCAAGCATCTTGAGATGGAAAGCACTGATGATAATATGGTTAATCTAATTAGAACATTGAGACAAGTAGAATATAATAGTAAGAGCTGACCACCTCTACGAATTGGTTCAGGTTTCTATAGTGAAATGCACCTGGTTTCTGCAGGGTCTTTATCTTGCTTCCTGCCAAACTTCCAATGCAAAAAGTGGCAAAATAGAGAACGGGCTGCTCCCAAGACCAGCAATGCTGGAGGATTCTTGACTTCCCTAATTAAATAATCCTATATTGTTTTGATAGAGATATCATTTGAAACCAAATTTTCAAGATGTCTATCCTACTCTGATGTTCATTCTCTGGATTCTCTGCTTGAGACCATGAGATGATTTTCAGAAAACAAAGGGTGCCAGAGATGTACAATATACAATAGTATAGAGTAGAAGAAAAACCAAATCATTTGTTGCTTATAAATGCTAGAAATATCTTGCCTCTTGCCCTTATCTGGGAAAGGAAAATAACACATCTTCCTTACTTTAAAATGATTTGGGATATAAAAATTAATTCTTCTTTATAAAGTTCCATTGAGACAGAATGTACAAGAAAATCAGTATTTCTGTACTCCACACAGGGCGTGCATGTTGTAAATAATGCCATAGGCAATAGTGAACAAAGAGAAGAAAATGAAATACTATTTACCTGAAAAAAATAGCATACATATAGAAAAACAAGTTTGGTGGAAATAGCCTATGATGTCTGTCATAACTTGCATTCACAAAGGCAAACTTTGCAGGTTGGATTTGCAGCTTTATAGTATTCATCTGAATTTAGATACCTCTATGTAACAATAACAACAAAAGATACTTTGGATTGTGAAGCGATTTAGTGCTGAGATTACTTACCACACAGAAAAGGTATATTTCTCTAACTCCTCCAAGTAAAAATTGCTCTCTGAAGATGCTTTACCTTCTTCTAGGTTTGTGTCGTTCATAGCACTTGATTTTTCTTGATAGTGTTCTTCAGGAGGGTTATTCCAGTTGAACTTGAAATGAAAAAAAAAAAAAAAAGAATAGTATGGTTAATAATTGGTTGGGTGCAGTACCAAAGGGCCAATTTCACCCTGCTTCAAACTTTTGAATTGAATATCTGATTACAATTCTATACATTCCTTTTGAGCATTTGCAAATAATGTATTTATATGATCTGAAAATGGAGTAACAATCATGAACTGATGTTTTTTGGGGTTTTTTTTGTTTTTTTTCTTTTGCAGTGTTGAAGCCTATCCTCAATTTCCTGTATCAAAACAGAAAGCACGGCTGCATGTTTTTCACTGTTCACAGGACCGTGTTTAGCCACTGTATCACAACACCTACAGTTATTTGCCATCACTTGAGTCAGCACTGCACTGCACTCTCCATGTGCCCTCGTTTCAGCCCAGTCAGTGTCAACTGCAATTCAGTGTATGGTTGTTGTAATGATGTGCACCCATGGTCAGGCTGGGCTGCTTGGTGAGGCAAACCTGCTGCTATGATGTCGTGGGGCAAGAGGCAGCCACAGTGAGAGCTGTGCCAGGCCACATGCAGCCCATGGGCTGTGAGATGGACATCTCACATTCTAGCTGCTCATTTTTCCCTGTGTTGTACACCATACATTTTCAGCACAAAAATTTGGACATCCGCACAGTAAAGCATATAGAGGGAACTGATCAGAGAAGGAAATGATCACTATTTGGCCTCTTTCCTTTTCATTTTTTTAAAAGTGGGTTAGCTCTCAGCTGGACCCGTTGTGATCCAGGCCACCTGCGCTGGTGCCAGCATGAGAGAGGAGAAAGATGGGACAGTACTGCATCTTTCAGTGTAATACAAAGTACAGAGTCTTAATCCATGCTTATCTCTGGAATGATTTGGCTTTTATTCAGGCCAAATAGTTTAACAGTGGTATCCCCTTTCACTGAAGTGCTTAGTATTAACTGACCGTGCTCAGATGTCTCAGCATCACTTCCACCAAGAGATACTATAAGGTCATAATTTACCAAATGGACATCAGCAGGAGACAACAAAGCTATATATTAATATCCTCCTAGGAACAACAGCAAAGCCTGTGAAGGGTCTGCTAGGTGTTTGATGTCTTAATGATCCAAACTAGATAAATCTGTGTAAACTACACATCCTAGAAGACAAGCTAAATGACTTAAGGTCCCTCCTGATCTTAGCATTTATGACCCCGCAATGAACAAAATATCCAAGTTTATTCTGTAGATCTCAAAAATCTAAGTTTCCAGGGAACACAGCTTTAGCATTAGAGGTAGTCATTTCACTATATATTTTGTTGATTATGAGAACTACCTAAAAAAATTATTTATTTTTTTTACAGAGTTAAACATTTTGCTCTAAAAGGCATATTTGTATTCTGAAACTGGGATTACATAGACTACAGCTATTTTGAATTTTAATTTAAGGCTTATAGATATAACAGAGAGAGGTTCATATCCATACCTACATAATGCTAATCATGGTTATCAGTAAATACGATACAATCATATTTTCAGCAGTCACTGGAAAAGCTGCCACAAGGAATGGAATATATAGCCAAAAAGTTATTCTGTGTAAATATGAATACTTAAGGCAGACTAGAAGTGAGTAGCATGCTCAAAGCTGTTTTTAAATACTAACACCAGGCAGCTATAGATAGCATTGCACTTTCACCTAGCCACATGACTGAACTAATACCCTAGGAAAAAGTCAAGGATTCATTCTCGATAGTGTGTGCAAAGTACTTTGCTTGCACTGACAATGGTCTCCATGCAACTGGCCCTTGTGCAAAATACATATGAAAACATATTTGAGACATAAATGTCAAAGGTGTTGGAAAGTATTATGACTGCAATTCTATGAGACTTTTTGATGTTGTTTGAAGAACAACAAGAGGAGCTCACTTACATGCATGAGAATGAGTCTAAAGCCTCAGAAATGTATTTTACTTCTCATGGATTTCGCTGACCAGCAGCACTGTGTTCACTGACCAGCAGCACTTTGCAGCCATCATTTTATATCTTAAATACATGCATATGTGTGCATGCTTATTTCACATGACACTAAGTTGTCACTAATCACCACCACTTGGAAGATACTCAGTGGGAGACTACACACCTCTGTAGCACAGAAGATTTGGGGAAGCAGGAGGAACACCTCTGTTTTTGCGGGTATATTCTACCTTTCCCAAAAAAGTGAGACCCCCCAAGGTCCAATGTTTGTGGTTGGTGTGTTGTGGTTGTCTTTTTTTAATAAAAGTCTACTTACAGAAGGAAAAGGGAAAGCTAAGGGGAATAATCCCCTACATAAATTGCTGTCTTTCCCCTTACATCTGCCCTAAATTAATTTAGTTTGCAATTGCATCCAATTTATGATTGTTGAGTAAAATTATTTTAGAAGACAGTTTCAGTTCCGGATATAGAAAATAGACTCAAATGACATAATTCAGATCAAGTGTTTAAATCCTGAACATGATAATACATGGATCTCTTTCAACATTAGGATTCAGTCACCCCATTAAAAGAAAGGGGCTCTTAAAACCTTTGAAATTAGATTTCATGTGCTCACGTTTCTTTTGTGCAGAACAATTCTCACAGGACACGCTGTTCAGAAATCTATTTAAACATGTCAATAACTGAAAGCTTGTGAGTCATTTCACAGTGTCCAAAGGGGTTAGACAGTGCTGAATCACCCTTGAGCTAACACACCTTGCTGAAACCAGGTCACTTTAATGTGGCTTTCAGAGTTAGCCATGGCTGAGGTTCCTATAGGAGCATGGCATTTTGTTCAAAGGCAATGTGCTATTATGGGATTGTAGGAAATGAATTTCACTCTGACACTCCCATGGGTTGGGTTGCGTTGCCTATTACACCCACTCCATCAGTACTTAAATTGGTCTTCCTATAGATATAGGACTACACACACATGTGCACATCAGTCTGCAGACGTTTATATACAACTCTGATTTCTCCAAATTTTCCTTACCTCACCAAAGAAACAACATGAAATCTTAGCCATTTGAAATGCAGGGAATTTCCTGTTAACCAATCAGGTTTAGTCCATGAATATGTATGTGCACATCATCAATTATGTAAAATCAAAGCTGCAACAATAATTTCGAGCTATTGGGTATTTATTATATATATTTAATATGCACATGTTAAGCAAGATTGTGAGTACTCTGAGCAGTGTTTAACCATGACTACTTTATTCCAAGGACAACTAAAATTGTTTAAAATGTTTCAGAGTAGACCTAGAATGAGGGAGAGATGAATTGCCAGAACAGTTATTTTGAATATTAATATTTGAAGCCATAATTCATACATAGTTACTGTGGAGCAACAGTTACAGAGAAAATTGGCATCCTCCCTTAGAAAATACCTTAGATCCACAATGCATTAATTATGTACTTGACTGAGTTACTAGGAATAAGAATACGAAAAAGGATCCAGTGGTAAGGATCT